AGGGGGTAGCGTATTTCTGTAAACGGGAGAGAAGAAGAATTGAAAATCGTTGTTGACGGGGTCGTTTTAAATAATGGGAAATAAACAAGTGATTCTCGCGTGATTTTACCGGCTAAGAAGGGAAGGGTTAGTTGCCAGCCGGTTCGGACCATTACAAGAAAATACCCAATTAAGTTAAGACCACCCAGTAATAATTAATAATAGGGATTATTAGAAGCTGACCGGAGATAGTTGGGATTATTAAATCCAATTTTTCCTTTAATTTTTTTTAATACAAGTGCCATTAATTCGAAGGTTGGCAAAAAGAGATTTGAGTACCCTAGATTTTAGATACTATGGAAGAGATTTTCAATTCGGTGTATTCTATGGTTGATTACAACTCGAAACAGAACATGTAACGTTGGAGAGTACTAGGAAAGGATTTCGTTTTCTTTTTGTCTAGAGAGAGATATGGATAGGGACGTAGTGCCTTTTGTAAATAGGTTTTAGACGGTTTCGTAAAAGATCCTACAATCTGACGTTAAAGTACTCCATATTTTCTCAACACGTAGATTCTCCGGAGTTTAAATTGCAAGCTCCTTCCGCATTCCGGCTCTATTCCGGCAAATGTGCAATAATAGTCAACATTTGGACATTTGTCGAAGCACGCATTTGACTGTAAGTATATTTTAATCTCTATTAATAAAAGATATTAAAAATCAGAAATTTTGAAAAATTTGTAATGAAATGAATTGAAAAAATATATTTTTCTAAAAATAATTTTCATAAAATAATAGTGTAAAATGTAGTCAAAGTAGACCATATGAACAGTGCAAAAAGCCAACATGTTGCGATTAAAAAGAGACGGAGGATAGTATTTTTTCTATCTCCTCCCCTAGCTAGCTGTCAAGCTTACACAGTTCTGAAATCAAATAAATTCTTGTAGTAAAATGCAAAGATTCAAATAAAAATTGAAAACAAAAAAAAGATAAACATAAAAGGCCATGTAGGAAGATAGAACAGTTTTGTAGTGTTCTTTCTCATCATTTGTTAAGATTTAAGAGCGTGTTTAGTAATCACTGATTAACTAATTATGAGGCGATTTGGTGATATTGTTTTTCGGCTTATCATGCTCATCAGCTAACTTTTTCATCAAATACGTAGGTTTGGCTTTCACGCGCTAAATTGTGTAATAAACAGAAAAAGTAAGATTGAAGTTACTTTTCTGGTTGTATTAATTGAAATTACTGTAGTCTGTAGATGACCATTTTAACTATTTTTATATATAATTTTTCTTTATTTTATTAATAGAATATATTTTAAAAATATTTTTCAAATTTGATATATAAATTAAGAGATAAAAAGTGATTTGTGTTGACCAAGTGAATAGAAAACATATATTATGTATTACATATTGAGACTGAGGGAGTACGAAACAATTTGTCTTGATTGATCGAAGTTATTGTAAAGAATCATTTTAGCTATTCTTCATGTAATTTTTTCTTTATTTTATAGTGAACTAAATAAATTAGGACTAGAAATGGAATGATTAGTCCTATTTATGAAAAATCAAACATATGATCCTATTTTTCGAAGAAAAGTATAGGGTATATTTTAGTCTTAGAGCCCGTTTGGTGAGTCTGTTTTCCACTATCAGCCAACTTATTAATCATTAACATAATTTTTAATTTCACACGTTGAATTGTGTAATAATAAGAAAAAACAATAAGATAGAAGTTACTTTTGTCGTTGTATTGTCTGAACTTACTATAGATAATCATTTAACTTTTTTTCATATAATTTTTTATTTATTTTATTAACAAAATATATTTTAAAATATAATTTTTTCACAAATTCATTACAAATTTCAAGAAACACAATTTTTCAAAGACAATATCGGATGGTACAACTTTAAGCTCCATGATCGGACGTTAAGTAAAATAAAAAACATGAATTAATTATGGGAAGAGGTCGTCATTAGTCATTACAATGTCCGAAATGAGAGATGAGTAAAACATGAATTAATTATGGGCCGCATAATTGGCAGTTGTCCGTATATACATACAGTGCTATATACGGAGTAGTATTCGTGTATATATACCGCCTCAAATCATCTTCCCTACGTGTATCTCTCTCTACTCCCTACGAAGTTTCCTGGAAACTCACTATGCCTCCCTTCTCTTCTCTCCCATTTAAACCTCCCTTCATCATCGCTCTTTCTCCGCAACTACCCTTTTGTTCCTCTCCTTCTACTTTCCTTCCTTCAGCTCTGCCCCACATTCCCCCATGAAGCTCATCAGAAGCATCCCCCATCCAGGCAAGCTCTTTAAATCCCTGAAACCTCGCTCCAAATCCAGATCTGATGGCCCGTCCTCCCCCTCTTCCGATTCCGACTCTCAATCCGGGTACAGGAAGTCCACCGGCGGGCTGTCCACGCCCACCAGCGTCCTGCCCGCGGTCACCAATGAGATCTCCACCGAGGAGTGGTCTGACATTTCCGCCGGGGTGTACGCCGAGCTCGTGCAGGCGTTCAAGCTGATCGACAGCGACGAGGACGGGAAGATCAGGATGGAGGAGCTGGGCGCTCTTTTGAGCCGCGTTGGAGCCGAGCCGATCGGCGAGGAGGAGCTGAGGATGATGCTGAGTGATGTCGACCGGGACGGCGATGGATGCATCAGCCTCGAGGATTTCTGCGCGCTCAGCTCCGCCTTCGCGCCGCCGTCGTGCGACTCTGAGCTGCGGGACGCCTTCGATTTCTTCGACACGGATCACGACGGGAGGATTACGGCGGAGGAGCTGTTTAGCGTGTTCAGAACCATCGGCGACGCGCGGTGCACGTTAGAGGACTGCCGGCGCATGATAGCAGGAGTTGATAAGAACCGGGACGGGTTTGTGTGTTTCGAGGACTTCAGCGTTATGATGGTGCACCAGAAATGATGGGTCACTGGTATATGTTTTCGGGTTTTGTAATCGGGTCTGAATATGAATGGATAAAAAGGATCCTATAGTGGCTTGAACTCCGCCCGTATATCTTTGTACTGGATTTGGTTTACACCAATCACCTGAGGAGTAGATTTTATACACACTTTATCAGGATCATAATGTGCCGAAATTCAGTTGAAAATAAACACTGATACGGAAACATTTCTATATTTATCATTATGAAGTCCATTGTGAAGGAAACGAAAGGATTATTTTTGTAAATCAAAGGGCTGAAAAAGCTGTACCGACTCCGTCCAAATTAATTGATAAATCTTATACTCTTTGTATTTCTTTTGGCTTTGAGTTAAGCAATATATTACTACCTCTATTTTTTTTTATTAGTCCTTTCCTTTTTGGGACGTTTTTTTTATCTGTCCTCCTTTCCATTTAAGGAAAGTTTTTACTCTAAATATACCTTTATATCCCAACTTTTATTACCATTACCCCTTTCTCTTTCCTACTTTTTCATTTACCCACTACTCATTACATCTTTTATACCACCTCTATTATTTTCCTCTTAAAACTCGTGCCAAAGCCTAGGAGGACTAATATTAAAGAACGGAAGGAGTAGTAATTTAGTGTTGTAATTGTCTTGTAGTGGTATTTAGTGGCGGGGCGTACTAAATGGTATGAATTATTATGTATTTTCTCAAAATAACATCATGTTGGAAAAGCGCGACCCCCACTCACTCTTTGTATCTGAGACTATTTCACTCTACCTCACTTGTTCACTGTACTTCATTCAACGATATCTTTGAGCCTTCTTTTCTCACAAGAAGGTTCTCCTCCTTCTCAAGAAGACTCCCACTTTCACTCACTCAAGAGCTCTCTTCAAGGTTAACAAAGAAACAAGAAGCTTCTATACTAATCTCATCAAAGTTCCTTTAGATTTTTTTCATACAACACTACACATCTAGATTATTCCAAAAAGTATCCACAAGTTTTTCTAATTTTCTAGAACGATTTAGAAAACACAACAATTTTTTAAAATGCTTTAAAGGCTTTCACACACTTCCACACAATTTTAGTGAGTTTCACATTTCTCTATAAAACTCCGCATTATTATTCTAGAACATTCAGTACTTCTTTACACACATATAGAGAATCTTGGACATCTCTGAGAATTCTAAAACTCCAATGAATTTCTCCACTAAGGAGGGAATCCAACATAATCTTTTGATATTTTGTTGCAAGAAATGTGACAACATATTTGTCAAACTAAATACTTTCTTACTCACTATAACCACAAAAAGTCAATCTGTGTGACATTAAAGGTCTAAAACTCCACACTTTCATTCAAATGAATGTGGTATGTTGTAGCCAATACTTGTACTCCTAAAGACACGTATGTTTCATGAAAGGCTTTGCCTTTTATTTTAACAGTTAATCTAAATTATCCTTAATTGGTATTTATTTTTGAAAAAAACAAAGGGGCACATTAAATATATTATAAGTAGTAGTACTAATTTTTTTTGCCCGAAGCGGGGGTGCTTGCCCCTCCCCAGCTCCTCCACTAGTGGTATTGTAAAACAAAATTTAAGTATTTATTTATTACATACTCGTAATAAATATTGAGTGCAATTTCTAAATACAAACTTTCTGATTTTTCACTTTAATAATTTAAAATTAATATAATTAAAGAATTTAACTTCAAATTAAATCTTTAATTAATCAATTATTGATGGAAATTTTCGAAGACGAGTACCAAAAGTTTCTCCAGCGCAATAGTCGAGGACTAAAAATGAAAAAAATAAAAATCGAGTATTAAAAGTGTCAATGACATGATAGTCGGAGGATTAAAAATGGCAAGAATTTATATATGCGCAGAATGTGCAGTAAACTTCAAGAATTTATTTGACTGCCTTCCCAGTCGAATTTTGAGCTGAAATTTGGTATGGACAAACTAGACTTGATGGTTTTGACTCAATATAAGCACTGGCCATGCATCTATGGTTCCCATAAAGATCAACAATAGATAAATTACAAATATATATATATATATATATATATATATATATATATATATATATATATTTGAGTGAAAAGAAGAAAAAATTAATATAAGCACCGGCCAAGCATAAAAATAATTATCTTTACAATTGATCCAGGAGCTGTGTGATAATAAACTTAATCCAGTCAAAACCATTACATTGGTGTTATGTGATCAAGTGTATACTTTGCTGCTACATAGATATTATGTCAAGAATTCACCGTCGGCCGCGGCCACGCCCCCTGCCTCGTCCTCTTCCTCTGCCTGCTCCGGATCTCCCTCCTCTGCCACGGCCCCTGAAGCCTGAGGCAGGCCCATCGGGCTTAAGTTTCAATGACTGGATTCCCCTTCTCTTCATTGGCTTTTCCTCTCTGTCCTCATCGTCATCATCTTTCTTGTACTTTGAGCTTCTTTTGGCTGTGAAGGACATCTCCCGTGATCCTCCCATTCCCACCTTGATATCAAAATCTTGCTGACTATTGGTATTCTTATTATTCAGTGCTGCCACCCTCTTTTCCAAAGGAAGGGCGTCCTCCTCTGCAAGGGATCTATTATTCCAGAATGCATCTGCATGTCGATCATCCTTTACTGCATACAATCTAAATTCACCATGTATGGAATTCCACGGTTAGTAAATTCTAACTTTTGGTGGGAATCCAAAATTGGGAAGGATAGAAATCCATGAAATAGTAAAAGCCAAGAACATGTTCAAATGCTTAAGAAAAAGCATGTAGACATGTTCCAATGCTTAAGAGTATGTAATATTAACCATTTGAATGTAGGCATTTCTAAGAAACATGATAAGTAGTTCAAGACATTATATGTCAATTTGTGTCTTAATATTTGGCTGGTGCATTTTGACATAATATGCCCCGTATAATAGTGGCCCCGCATAATAGTGGCTCGTAAACAGCCAACACTGAAATTTGTCATTAGCTCCTTCGAGTCATGGCGTGACCAGCCGTTCGGTTAAAAGCTCTTTTGAGTCATGTCATTAGGACGTGGGTTCATCTTAAAACAGAACATAATAGGAGCATGTTTATTTCTAATTCCATGTTTTTGTTTTATAATTGGCTTTGGTAAGAAGACTTCACAAAAAATGTTTCTCCACGTGCAAACAGAACATTTATTTACAGCTCATCTATGGATTAGTTTCATCTTTGATATAGAGCTGATGAAATATCCTCACCTGGGAACCCGTGCTTTCTTTCTCTTATCGTGTTCATCATCTTCTGATGTTGAAGGAGCTGCAGATTCAGAGTCGCTTTGATCCTCACCATCCATAACTGGATTAAAATGTTCCTCCAACAGAGAAGCTTTCTTTGCAGATGCCACAGGGTGCAATGCTCGGTACTCTTGAGAGCGTTCATCAATTTCAAAATCCTGTTTGGGGAACATTATTAGATTAGCCGTAAAAACTAAAAAAAATCTCCTTCTTATGCTCTATCCTTCAAATTATTTTCAAATGAAAATTGAAGAACATCAGAATACCTTATTTTCAAACATTGCTGAGAACCGCTGATCTTCTAAAATTTCACTGCTGGTTGGTCCCTTCTTTTTCTTTGATGCTTTTTTGGCATCAACACCATCACCTTCCACTTTTTCAGCTTCTTCGTTATCAAGAAGTTTAGACGCAAATGCCTTGTTAACTTTTGGGAGTCTCCTCTTAATCTGCACACATACAAGGAAAGTTTATGGCACAGAACATTTTGAAATACCGAATTTCATCCGAGATAAATAAACACAAAGGCTTATCGCCTTATAAAGAAAATCAAAATTCAAATGTGGATAATGTATCATCGTCCACTTACCTTTTATTTTGAATTAGTATTTATATACTAAAAAGTAAAAAATAAAAATAGTGTGTGCAGATAGTACTAACCGTAATACGGGATTCAAGTTGCTTTTCAAGTTTCTTCTTTTTCTTTTGTTCTAAATAATCATCATACATAAATGGGTCTGCGAGAGATTTTGCCTGCACATGTAGCCAACGATAATAATCATTTAATGCAAAATAACAATTACATACATAAATACTTCATCCGTTCTTTATTAGTTGCAACATTTCCATTTTCACATTTGTCAACGCACAACTTAGATTATTAATATATTTAATTCCCTAATTGTAATTTTTTTTAAAATCACGTTTTGAAATTTAAAGTGAGAAGATTTTATTATATTTTTTCAAGAACAAAAAAATGAAGTATTCATTAATAAAATATAGTCAAAATAAAGCAAGTGAATAGTGTAAAATTTCTAATGTTGCAACAATTTATGAACGGAGGTAGTATATCATACTCTGTAATATAATCTATTAATCTCTTGAAATCTCTTATATTAATTTGCTATTAAGAATGAATTGAGATTCATGACATAATTTCTACTTTATATTAAATATTTAGAATCATATACTTTGATAGAGTTAAAACACACAGAACTTGATGAGACTCAGTTTTTTTTTTGATCATTTGATGAGACTCTCAGTTAAAAGTTAAAACTCAAAGCTAAACGACAACAAGAATAGGTGAAATATGTATTCTATAGTACCTTTGTATACAGACGGTAATTAATAAAATAACCATGCATGTAGGCTCTTAAAAGGTTTGTTCCTATCATGTGAGTCAGATTCAACTTATCAAGATCTTCTTTTGTCAAAAATTTGAAATCGTCATAAATAGTTGTCTGTGCACCCTCCTCCATCTCTTCCTGTGAATAGAAATAAACAAAGCAAAAAACAATATATATTTATATATATAAAAAGTCAGAGAGATCAGTCGAGAAGCATATTCTGTGTGTGACAAATTTGAAAGCTCAATCACATACCGTTAAATTCTCTAGGTAAGAGCACCACTTAGGTGCAGGTCCTAGAGCAGGTATAAAATAAGAAGGTATTTGACTGGAGTCTAGTGCCACCAATATTAACCCAGTTCCACTAAACACACATAAATCATTTATTCTGCCACCAGTTGGTTCAATGCTTGTCATGCCTTCTCCCTGAAAATATCAAAATACACAATTCTTCAGGTAATGGAAAATAAAAATAAAAAATAAAAAAATCAGCTTGAGAGCATGCAAATAAGGAAATAGAGCAATTAATTTGATCTTGCACATGTACACTCGCTTAATGGCTAATAAATTGTACTCCCTCCGTCCCACTGACAATGAGACAAGAGAAAGTGGCACACAAATTAATAAAAAGTGGTGTATGTGGTTGATATTGAATTGATAAAGTAAGAATAAAGTGTGAATGATTTAGAGCCACACAAACATTACCAAATTTGGTATGGGACAATCTTAGTGGGACGGACCGTAAAGGTAAAATGGGACAATCTTAGCGGGACGGAGGTAGTAATAAAAGATAACAGTGTTCTGATAAACCCGCTAAAGCCTTCTCGTAACAGAACTTGGACACTGAGTTCTAAGAGACGGCAGTAAAAGTAAAGATTAATCAAAACTTCGAGAGTTCATTTCATAATTGGAATGATCCATAAAAATCAGGGACGAAAAATAAAGAATTGTAGAAGAACCATCTTGGGAAGCGCCCAATAGCTCTGAACATTAAAAAAGAACCAATAGTTTTAAAACATGGAAAAGTAACAGAGAGAAGCAACAGTTTCTTACTGTGTCAGGGTCCCAGACTCTAACAACGTGGTGGTCGGCAGTTATTAACTTCGAACGTTCTGTGTTAAGTGTCTTGTGCCATTTAATATTATGTATCGGGCTTCCATACCTACATAGTACACAAAGAACCATTAGTAATTAATAAGAACTCAACTGAATCTAAGAAACAAATTATAAGTTTACCAAGAAACCTACTTGTGATCCTTTACTTGCATGGGATGTGATGAACGCAGGTCAAAAATCATAACCTGCAATAATAGGGTGTCAGTAAGTCAGACGAAGGTGCATAAAGAATACAGCCATAGTCTCATAGATAAACCAAGGTCCAAAAATATCATACATTTGACATAAACCAATACAAACCAGCTGAAAAACATATATACAAGTCTATCACAACCATAAAATGAAACTTGAAAGCAAGTTAAACAAGTAAGATACTCTCATACTCCCTCCTACCCAATTTCCAAGTCCCAGTTGGTTTTTGCATGCACATCAAGGAAACAAATATCCATGATCAACTTTCCAGTTTTACCCTCTAAAAATTGGGTATCCTTGTTTTAAAAAGGGGGGTAGACAACAAGCAGTGCCTTTTCTATAACTTTATCCAAATTTTCATGTAACTAAATGAAGAGAGAATCGGGCTACCGCTCAAGCAAACCTGGACCAATAATCTCAGAGATTTTAGTTTTTACCTCTATTAGTGAACTTTGGCTTTTTCATTATTCGCATATCAAAAACGACATGTATAAAAGACATGAAATGGTAACCAAATATTCTTTTAACCATATATCAAGTTCTAAACTTTCCTGGCAAACACAATACATTTTCATTTCTCTTACCTTACCACCACTACTTCCAGCTGCCATCAGGTAACCCCCATCCCCATCAAACTCTAATGCAGTCACTTCCTGCAGTTATTAAAAGTTTATCCACAGTTTGTCATTATCTGTAATGTCATTAGAGGAGAGCTTCCAGGTGCTCACTAAACTGTACTAAATTGTATGTGCTTTAGTACAGAGGTAAGGCTGTGTACATCCGACGCCCCCCTTTGTGACACCTCAAAATTTAAGGTGTACAACTTGAGGTGCTATCTGAGGCTTGATTTTCTTTGTTCCTTCCTTTTAATGAGTCATAACTAAACAAAGCCTCAGTGTATTTATTTAATAGAAGTCCCATACATTAAACATGTGTCCATAGTCCACACTAAACCCCTGATGAGTCTTGTTTTATTTAAACTTTAAAGTATGCATTAATGGCTAAAATGTTTGCATACTTCTTCTGCACCAAGAAATGTTTGTATTCGTGCACAAAGAATTTGACACCTTCTTACACACTCCATTCTTCCAGGTAACTTCTCTTCTCCTCATCTACTCCTCTTCTTCTTCATCATCTTCTCTACTCTCCTTCTTGTACTGAGATGTTGGTCATGTTTTCCTAGCCAATGATGAGAAAAATCTTTTGGTTGATGATTTGCCATCTGATGATGAATGGCTTGTGTTCATATATGTATTTGTGTTTGTGTTTGAGACTTTTTGGACTTAAAATTACGCATTACTTTAGTTGTTCATTACGTAGTACTAGTTTAACTATTTTAAGTTTAATGTTGGTTTTTGTTAGGCTTACACCTTGCCTCTTTCAAACAAACTGCCTTGATACCCGAACTAGCCTTTTTAAACTTTGGTATTATTAGTGTTTTATATTATTGGAATGAGAAAAACCTGGTCAAGGTCACCAGCAGCAGCAATGGCATTTATCCTGCCAATTGAAGATTTTGCTCTCAAGTCAAAGCATTCAACAGCACCATCTTCACCTCCACAGGCAATTAGTCCATGGATCTTACTGAAAAGCAGTGTGCATTTATGAAAAAAATATCAGAAAAAGAGACTTAGTGGCACGTAAGAAATGTATTTCCAATTACTTGGCCTGAAAAGGAATGAATACCCCCCACACACACATCATTTGAATAGTTTACTAGGAATTTCCGGAAATGACCATTATTAGAGGAAAGCAGAACCTTCTAGAAACAACATTTAGTGCTGGAGATTGTGTGCTTAAAGACTCAAGGAAGCAACCCTGAGAAAAAAATATAAAAGTTCAGAACCTGGGGGTGCATATAAGCAAGTAAAATGATTGTGCAAAAGAAACGCTTGACATACATAATATATTGTGTTACTGTAGAATAAAAGAATCATTATTGACCAGTTGACCAAATTGGAGTCAGGAAAGCGGGTAACGATCAATCAATCATCATTTACCCCAGTGCCGCAAAGGCTCCCACCTATGGTGGGGTAAGGGGGGTCGGATGTACGCAGTCTTACCCCTGTACTAAAGCACAGAGAGACTGTTTCCGGATGACCCAGAAAGTGGGTAACAATAAATAGTAAAAATAGAAATTATAAATCAATACATGCGAAACAAATGAATGGATAAAAATGCCTTGGGAGTTTTAAAGAGAGCATAATGAAAGATACCAGCATATACGAGAGGTAATAAAAAAATACCCGTTCTAAATTTATTCTGTACAATTCCGGTGATGAAGCAGCACACATCAAATCACATGACCAACAATCATATGCAATATCTCTTCCCATCCTATTCCAGACCGAACATAAAAAAACATTTAACTATTAAATTAGACTCTAGGTCAGCTAAATGATGATATATGTCATCAGAGTAAAGCTTAAAATGAACAGGATATCCAATGAGGCAATGAAGTTCTACTGCCTATCTAGAAAAAGCACTAAGACACTACACACGTGGTAATTTACAAGATTTAGCAAAACCTTTTTTTTTTATTTTTTTTGTTATAGAAAAATATATGTTTCCATCATTTGCAATGGATCCAAAGATTCATTATTTTTGGCTTGAGAATATGATGGAATAAAGCAAAATGGCTCACTAAACTGTCTGCGCTTCTTTCTTATGAAGAAGCAGCCAGTCCATGCAATTTTGGATGCGATTTTCACTATGGGTCATCCGGAAACAGTCTCTTTGTGCTTTGGTACCGGGGTAAGACTGCGTACATCCGACATTTCAAAGAATGAAAATTTAAGAATGACACCTTCATCTGGAAACATGTAGTTAAAATAACACCTTCATCTTTAATTATATGTATTATTCATGAGTGACACTTAGTACGGAAGATCATTTGAATAATTAAATATTAATTATCAAATGCTTCTCTACTTTGGCTACCGAAAATATGAACTCATACAGAGACATAGTGCCAAACAAGCATCCATAAGCCAAAGCGCACATTGGCACATCCTCATCATTATCAGCACCTTAATCCCAACCAGTTGGGATAGGTGTCATTAAATTTATAGTGCAAATTAATTATGAAAAGGTAATTAAATTTTAAAACTGTAACTTTGGGCAAAAAAAAGTTGGTGACAAAATTCTACGAAGGATGCCCTTTCTGTTGCAACTCCCATGAGAAAGAATACTAAGATAACAATTCTAAAACCTTCAGCATCATTGGTAATTTCCACATACATATATTTGCTATTGTCATGTCCGTTACAACGTGTTAATATCTTTTAGCACCCAAAAGTATGGGATTGGAGCAAAATAAATGTTACGTCACTGTAAAAAAACTCAAAGGTCCTTATCTACACAAGATTACTTCTATGATAGAAATTGCTTGTGATATAAGGTGCTCAGTTATTCAGTTTTTACTCCTACTATAAAACTTGTGTAGTCATTCTTGATATGTGCTCAAAATTTAATGTAGGGAGAAAAGAACCTTGGAATGCGTATACTGTAGTGACTTCCATATTTTGCATGAAGGCAAACAGAGCGATCAGCGCAAAGAAAGGCTATTTTTGAGTAGTCATCACTCAAGACCTACAAAAGTAGGTAAGCTGAAACATGTGTTGCTTAAGTAGTAGGTAAGACATAAGAGCACGAAATGCAGCACAATCACCTATAAGACCACATGAGAGTTTTTTATTAGTAGTATTGCATGAATTGAGAGTATATATGCAAAAAAATTGTATTAGAAACACAACAACCCAATATCCGGCAACTATCCAAACAGTTTGCAATAAATATTGGCACTTGGCAGGGTGATAAGCAATACAATGCAGGACAAAAGATATTGATATTGCACATTTAAGAAAGAAAAAACCAATACCTCAAAATTAACAATCTCTGAAATCAAATGCCTTTCAAACTTCAATGACAGTTCCCGCAACTCGTATACTTTAATTTGCGGTGGGTAAATGCCTGAATTAATTAAATCATTACAATTGGTAAGAGATTGTCGTCATCGGGAAAAGCTGGGATAGCAAGTGTGTAAGATAAAAGATGACTAACGAAAATGAATAAAGATGCAGAAAGCATCTGTTTTTTCCTTCTTCTTTTTCTCATAAAACACTACAAAATGCACGAAATGGCACAGAAATACTTTAGCTCATTTCATTTTGTAAAATTGACATTTGACCATCTTCAATAAGCTTTGAATAAGCATCAAGACAAAATGCCCTTTAGTTGATATGTGGCGGGTGAATGAATGACGTATATACACAGGCCACAGAGATGGAACTGCATAATCATCAGACACGTATTGACATATGATGCATACAATAGTCTTTAAATAGAACATAACATTTTATGGATCAAAGATGAAACATCAAGCATAAAATCATGAAATTGTTTTACAGTGACTGTAAAGCGTTGTTCATGCACTTTCAGTATCCAGTTGGACATCAGGAAACTTAACTCACCTGAGGCAATGAGATACTCCCCATCAGGAGACACCTTAATTCTAGTTGTTGCAGTTTCAAATCTCAGATCTTGGATTATATCTAGTCTTTGCAAATAATCTACCAAAAGAGAATACCAATGTGTCAATATTAGAGAAAAATGTCCCAAAAAAGATGCTCTTATCAAGAAACTAGAAAGTAGTAAAGTTTTACTTCCATACCTATGCGCAAAAATCATACTACTAAATAATACGGAGTAATTAATTACTCAGTACTTTGCTAACACAAGCTACATATGGTCATTAATAAATCCTTACGGTTTCCATTTATTCCTTGCTAGTTGGGTAGGGTAATATAATAAGCTCAACATCATCAGTATTAAATCAAGTCTCTAAAGGACCATTATTAACCTGCATACGTTTTCTATCATAGAAGACCAAAACATTATATTTCAAAATGCAAAATCCAAAAGAACCCAACTTTGAATTAAAAATAACTAAGATTTATAAGCCTTTGTATCCCTATGTGGCTATGTTAACTACAAGAAAAATGAAAGTTAGTATTACAGCTAGTTAAATATGTTGTGCTAATTTATTATGCTTATTGATGATTGACAGGTTAAAAAGGCATTTCATTATTTACTGATGTATCAAAATCTCTGCTACTGCAACAGAAAGAAGTATTCCTATTTCATTGTTATGGATAGGTAAAAACAGGAGGCAACCGAAGTGCATGAAAATGCACTTGCACTTAATTATAGTTCTTTCACCCTCAACAATCACTTCAGATCCGAAAGAGATCAACTTTAATCTCCAGAAGAACTAAATAACCGAGGTTAAGGAATGAAAACGTTAACTGCGGTTTTCTATATAAACATACTCTAATCATACCACTAAAGTTTTAACATGTAAAGCACGTGTTTTCATCAAAACAAAGAGAACACTAATTAAAATACTTGGATCTTTGCGTAGGGCTTTGAGCTTCTTAGGTGGAATCCATGAAGCTAAAGAACGGTTTTGGCCGGCGACCGTGTACATCTTGACGCCATTGATCGACGTGGATTTCAAATTCCCACCTTGGTACGCCATTGCTTAGTTTCCTTTTCAGTTGGACTCAGGAAGCACTCCCAGAAGAGGCTATGGATTATTGACCTATTGTACAAGGAGATAGTTGGAGCTTTAGAACAGGGTTTTTGACAAATAGGGTTTTGGAAAAAACTGCGCCTTTATTTTTGGTACGCCGCACCCAAATTGTAAGTTAACCTCTTTTCCCCCACGGCAGCTTTTTGGCCTCCGGGCAAACGAGTCTAGATTAGGGATGGGCGCGGTCCGGTCCGGTCCAATATTTGGTCGAACTCGTACTCGTACCGTTACTATTCAAATTGTTCGATTCAATTCAGTCTTAGACCTAAACCCGTTCGGTACGGTTTCATTTTGAAACGGGACAATACTATGTCATACAAGTATCAAGCAATGCCACCTTTTTCATACTCATTCCACACATTTTATTAATTTTATTAATAAATCCACACATTTTATTAATTTTTATACTCATTCCATCCCAAATCGACATGCAAAGTTAATATTTTTTGGACAACCAATGTTAAAGTTAATTTCTCTTTATTGATAATTAATCTAATTTTTAATAATTAAAATAAACATATTCATAAACTACATTGAAATCTCTTCAAAGTTGCAAGCTCCAAATTAAATATAATTAAAAATTGACATTCTAGTTAAGTGAATAAAATGAAACTGTTTGACCAAGAAAAATAAATTTTGCAAAACAATTTGGGAAGAAGTTAGTATTACATAATTAATAAATTTCATTATAAATTATAGTAGTACAAATTTTAGTAATTAAACTATATATCGGTCCAATTCCAGGTTTCCTATGAACTAGCAAAGATGGTGAAAGTGTGAAGGCACTAGTCAAAGTAATGATATGAATGTAAATTTAAATAATTAAATCATACTTCAGTCCGGTTCGGTCCGGTACCGGTTCTCACTTTATGAGAACCGGTCATGGCATTGTTTAGAATCGGTACGGTTCAGTTCGGGACAAAACAAATTGAGATCCGTTTCAAACACCATTTTTCAGTCTAGTACAATATCGGTTCGGTTCGATTCGGTACCATGCCGGTTCGGTATTTTTGCCCACCCCTAGTGTGTAGGGGTGTGTTCTGTTCTTTCGGTTTGGTTTTGACCTAAAACCAAATATAGAATCAAAGTAAAAAATTCAGTTCAATTTCGGTTCGGTTTTACACTCCAAAACTTGGAATTACGCTTTGATTGGTTCGATTTGTTTTGGTTCGATTTCGGTTTTTCAGCTTTTTACAATAAAAAAAAATTGTCATGATAAGAGATCAAATACAAACCATGCTTAAAATACTAACATACAAACTCAATAATATGCAACACTTTGAACTCAATATGCAGTATAAATAATGTAAAGATGCTCCTTATTTAGTGGATAAAGTACTCATAAAAAGCAAAGAGTACTAAAAAGAAAGAAAAAGATCTGATGGAGTATATGGCCCGGGAACCCCCGGCCCATAGACTCCTACTTCTGCTACACATACCCGAAAAGCCCAGAGGACAACTCAGGCCCAAAAGCAACGGCCCAGGCCCCAAAAATAGCCCGGAATACATACCGGGGTGCCTTCGGCCTCCCTGGCCGAAGGCTCCAGAAACTCACGAAGCAGCCCTCTCTGACATACGAAGCTACTGGGAGAAAACGGCGAAAAACATGAGCCTTCGGCATTACCAAGCCCTCGGCATTTGGGGAGCCTTCGGTGACGTAGCCCTCTGCCACTCGGGGCCTTCGAGTACGCGGGGGTCCTTGGTTACACGGAGCCCTCGGCTACGCAAGAAGCCTTCGGCCAAGCATGCTCAATCATCGAAGATTCCTTTTGGGGACAGCCAACCACCGCATTTAATGCCACGTCACATCCGCCAACCGCATTCAATGCGGTAAACGTACCACTGCCGGTGCCACCAGGCTGATGTGACCCTTCGGCCGTTGGATTACTGACACGTGCCCCCTCATCGCATTTATTGCTGCTATAAATAGCAGCCCATATCTCCTTGTAAAACATAATCGACATCCCGATTACACACGCGGAGTTCATTTAATAAAATCGACTCTCTCTCCTCCTATTTACTCTGACTTCTCTCTAGTTATTCCCGCAATAACCCCTCGGATAGGATACCCCCCGGGTAGACAATCCATCATTTGGTGCTCTCGTTGAGAGGTCAGAACAAATCAAGTAAGAAACCCTCCCCCTCTACCAAACACAAACCCTTACCAAAAATGGGAAGAACCACCCGTGCCCAATCCAAAACCCTTGAGGAAAACTACGTAGCCCCCGGCGAAACTAACGGGGCTGAGGCCTCTAACAGGCTCTTAGTACCCGAGGGTGGTGTCATCCTCGAATTAGAACAAGCCACCGCTGACCTCCGGCAGCAGCTACAGAAGAACGCCCCTGATGCCCGCATTGGCCTTGATAATCGAAGGAGGGATCGGAGTGAGAACGAAGTTCCCCCTCCGGCCCCGGCCATCGATCTTCAGGCTGCCTTTGCGGCCTTTGTTCAAAACATGGCTCTCAACTCAGGAGCCCTCGCCTCCCAGGCGCCCCTTCAGCCCCACGCTGGAGGGAATGTTATCCAACTACCACCACTCCCTCCTTTGTTCAACAGTCCTCCCCCGGGGATTGGCAATGCCGAGGGGGTCATGGCGCAGGATACCGCCTCCCAAGAGGCCCAATCCAGGGACAAGCGCCCCATGATGAAAGAGAAACCCCGAACCTCTGTACTTGAGAGGCTTGGGGGAGCTCCCGGGCACCGAGGGGTCCAAGACCGCCTCGGGAAACAGGCATTCAGCAGGCCCCAGGAGAGTGGAGCCTCTGCTTCGGGCGCCGAGGGCGCGCCTCCCCCACGAAGCAAAGGCAAAGCCCTCCTCCATGCCGATGACGCCAGGCACCAGATCAATCAGGCGCAATTCTTCCGGGCCGACTCCCAAGGGGTTGCCCCGAAGGATCCCAAGGACGAAATCATTGAAGCTCTCCTCCGTCAACTCGAGGAGAATCGTCAGGCACCCCCGACGGCTTCCACAGCGAGGCCAGATCCGGAGTACGCTGACCTCCGGGCGCAGGTGGAGGAAATGAAACGTAAACTTGCCGAAGGCTCAGGAGAGCCCCTCATTCAGCTCCGCACTAGGACGCCTTTCACCCCAAGGGTGTTGGCGGCCAAAATCCCCCACAAATATCGGGGGCAACCCATCAAGCCATATGAGGGGAAGACGGATCCCCAAGAACACTACAGCCGCTATCAAAATAGCATGATGATGATGGGGGCCTCGGATGAATACTTATGCCGTTGGTTCCTCTCCACCTTGGAGGGACCAGCGTATGAGTGGTTCAACCGGTTGCCCGAAGGCAGCATTGATTCTTGGCAAGAACTTGCCCACCGCTTCCTTACGCAATTTGCTGGGAGGCATCGCTCAAAGAAACACTTCTCCCACCTCCTAAACGTGAGACAACAGAAGGAGGAAACCCTTCGGAGTTTCCTGGAACGCTGGAGGCAAGCCTCCCTCGAGGTCGAGGGCGCCGATGACAGGACCCTAATGGCCCTCTTCCACACAGTCCTCCGCAACGGTAACTTCTCTCGGAGTCTTATCACTGATCCCCCCCGCGATTATACGAAGGCCCTTCAGCGGGGGGACCGTTATGCTGAAGCGGAGGAAATCGAGAAGGACCGCCGCAACACGGACCCCTATCAGAAGAATGAAGGCAGGAATCGGCCCGGAGGGCCTCCCCCTCCGGCCAACCGCGAGGCCCAATACAACGATCGCTCCCGGGGTGGCCAAGCCAGACCCGGGGGCGGTTACAAGAATAATCCGAAGGCATGGGCGCAACCCGTCCTCCTTGAGCACCCACGCACTCCCTTGACGCATCCCGTCAGCGTCATCCTTGATCATGCAGAAGAGCGGGGGCTCGTTGAGCGAGACTCCCGTACACCCCTCGAGATCTATGCCATCGGCCCTGATGAGCCATATTGCCGCTTCCACCGCCACCATGGACACAAAACCGACGACTGCCATCAGCTGAAGAACGCAATTGAGAGGTTGATACAGGCGGGCCACTTGTCTCAGTTCATCAGGGGCCCTCCTCCCCAGGGCCCCCCTCATCATCAAGGGCCTCCGCCGAAGGCAAACAAGTGGGTAAACCCCAACACCATCCCCTTGGGGAACCCACAGGGGAAGAAACGTGAAATTGGGGGCCTCGACGACGAGGGAGAGGGCTCCCATCAACAATACAAGCGCCATATTCATATGATCAACGGCGGCAACACCGGAGGCGATTCAACGAGCCAAAGGAAGAAGTGGGCACAGTCCCTCTACATTGGGGAGGTCAATCACATGCCCCCTACTAAAAGGCCGAGGGCGGATCCCATCTTCTTCACAGATGCGGACCTCCCCTCGGGCTCCCTGCCGCATAGGGACGCCCTCGTCGTCCGCACTGAAATCAATAACGCCATCATTCACCGGACTTACGTTGACACGGGGAGTTCTGTCAACGTCATGTATCTCAGTACTTTCCAAGAGTTGGGACTCGATAGGGGGTCCCTTCGGCACATCAACACCCCCCTCTCCGGATTTACGGGGGACAGCATAGACGCCGAGGGAGCCATCACCCTCACGGTTGAATTCGGCGACGGATCCCATAGAGCCAAGCTCGAAGTGGAATTCGTCGTCGTCAACCTCGACTGCGCACACAACATCATCCTCGGCCGGCCCGCCCTCGAGGATTTGGAGGCCGTCATCTCCATGAGGCACCTCTGCCTCAAGTTCCCCACACCCACCGGCATCGGCTATTCGAAGGGAAACCAGAAACTCTCCAGGGCCTGCTACCTTCAGCTCACCAAGAAGGTTAGTAAAACAGAGTTACGTATAGACACCATCACCACCAAGGCCTTGGAGGAGGAAGAAAGTAGGCCGAGGGCTGAGCCTGCCGAGGAGACTGAAGACCTGATACTCAATCCGGCCAAGCCGGAGAGAGTCCTGAAGATCGGAGCCAAGCTCCCCGAAGACCTGAAGGCTGGCATCACCGAGGCCCTCCGCGCCTACTCCATTGTTTTTGCATGGGGGCCAGAGGATATGCCAGGAATCGACCGAAGGGTTATCACCCACCGCCTAGCGGTGGACCCTTCGGCCAAACCAGTACAACAACGAAGAAGGCCCCTCTCGGCCGAGAGA